TAGCTTGATTGATGAAGATGCCATCTTTTCTTTGCTTGATTTGGAGTCTCAAGAAAAATGAGAGCTCCCCCATCATGCTCATCTCAAACTCACTTTGCATTAGCTTAGAAAATTCTTGGCAAAGAACATCATTAGTAGAACCATCATCAACATAAATTTGAACTACTAATAAATCTTTACCTTTATGTTTCAAAAACAATGTAGTGTCAACTTTCCCTTTTGAAAAAACTTTTTCAATTAAAAAATTTGACAATCTTTCATACCAAGCTCTAGGAGCTTGCTTTAAACCATAAAGAGCTTTTATCAATTTTAAAACATGATCCGGAAAATTTGAATCTTCAAAACCTGGAGGTTGTTCCAAATACACTTCTTCTTTTATAAAACCATTTAAAAATGCACTTTTAACATCAATTTGATATAATTTAAATTTATTGAAACATGCAAATGTTAATAACATTCTAATTGCTTCCATCCTAGCTATGGGAGCGTATGTTTCATCATAGTCTATGCCCTCTTCTTGAGTATACCATTGAGCAACAAGTCTAGCCTTGTTTCTCATTATATTACCACTCTCATAAAGCTTATTCCTAAATACCCATCTAGTACTTTTAGTAGATTTATTACTAGGCCTTTCAACTAATGTCCATACTTTACTTCTCTCAAATTGATTTAACTTTTCTTGCATAGCTATAATCCAATGTTCATCATTTAATGCTTCTTTAATATTCTTAGGCTCTATGCATGATAAATGCAACATAATTACAAATATTTCTAAGAATATCGAGCTGTTACCCCTTTTGATGGATCACCTATAATTTCTCCATCCTTGACATAGTTGTACTCTCTTGGATAAGATACTTCTCTTTCTTCAATGGTTGGATTCTCAAGAGGATCATGAGTTTCCTCATTTTTCGTTTCTTCTTTTGATGATGGTTCTCCAACGTCATTTGTATTTATAACACCTATATCATCATTCACACAAGAATCTTTCCTCGGAAGGGGATTATCATCGAAAACAACATGTATAGACTCTTCTACAACTAAAGTTCTTTTATTAAATACACGATAAGCTTTAGAATTTAAGTAATAACCCAGAAAAATTCATTCATTACTTTTAGCATTAAATTTGCCAAGGTTTTCTTTACCGTTGTTTAAAACAAAATATTTACATCCAAAAAATGAAAATAACTAATGTTAGGTTTTTTATTTTTGAAAATTTCATATGGAGTTTTCTTTAAAATTGGCCTAATCATTACTCGATTTACAATATAACAAGCGGTATTTGTGGCTTCCGCCCAAAAATATTTTGACATTATTTTCACAAAGTATGGTTCTAGCCATTTCTTCTAAAGTTTGATTTTTCCTCTCAACAACTCCATTTTGTTGAGGGGTTCTAGGTGCTGAAAATTATGACTAATACCGTTAGAGTTACAAAATTCAGTAAATCCAAGATTTTTAAATTCAGTTCCATGATCACTCCTAACACTAGTTATAGAGTAACCTTTTTTAATTTTGGATTACTTTTGAAAACGTGATGAATTGTTCTAATGCTTCATCTTTAGTATTTAAAAATAGAACCCAAGTATATCTAGAATAGTCATCTACCAAGACAAATGCATATTGTTTTCCATCCAAGCTAGTCTAGTTGGCCCAAAAAGATCTAAATGGATCAATTGTAAAACTCTACTAGTTGATACATCATTAATGGATTTAAAAGAAACTTGCTTTTGTTTTCCTTTAGCACAAGTATCACAAATTTTAACATTATCAAATTTAAGCTTAGGCAACCCTCTTACTAGGTCTCCTTGAATTAATCGTTGCAAAACACTCATACTAGCATGTCATAGTCTCCTATGCCATAACTATCATGTTCATCCTTAGCAACTAGGCATAAATTAGTCATATCAAAAGAATCTAAAGCACCATGTATATGTTTCCTATTCTATGACCAACAAGCATAATCCGATTAGATGCAATGTCAATGACTTTACAACCATTAATTTCAAATAAGACATTGAATCCTTTATCGCATAGTTGACTAATACTCAATAGATTATGCTTTAATCCATTCACATATAAAACATTTTTAATTTGTATGGAAGAGGTATTACCTATTGTACCAATACCTTCAATGTGACATTTTGAATTGTCTCCAAAAGTCACTTCTCCTCCATTTTTGGCGTTAAGCTCAATGAACCGGCTTTTGTCTCAGGTCATGTGTCTTGAGCATCCACTATCAAGGTACCATGAATTTGAATTTGTTTCCCGTGCCTTGTAGCAATGCTCCTTTCCCTACAAACATAGATTAATTTTTGATTTTTGGTACCTAAATTCTTTTTGGGTCCATATTCATTAGTTTCCAAAATCCTAGTCCCCTTAGGTATCCATTTGTGTAGGTATTTTTATCTTAGTAGTAATGAGTTCTTTAGGAACCCACATACTTCTAACGATTTTTCCATTAGAGGTTCTTTGGGGACCTCTATGATTGTAGTTTCTAAAACTTTTTCTAACAAAGTTGGATTTTGAATTTCCACATTTTTCAAAATGTTTTGTTCCAATTTTATAAAAAGAAGTTTTAAGATCATCAATTTTCTTTTGATGATCATCATTGATCTTTGAAAGTAAATTCTGCAAATCTAAATTTTTCTTTTCAAACTCTTTTAGTTTAATTTACAAATCTTTGATTTTACTTTCAAGATAGTTGTTGGTTTTGGATATGAGTTTGTTTTCATTTTTCAATTTTGAAATATCATTTTTATATTTTAAAAATAATTTCTCATAATCCTAAGCCAACCAATTATATTCCTCTAATAACTCATCATAAGATAAATCATCAAAATCGGATGAGTTAGAGGTTACCTTAGAATCTTCCCCAAATGCCATCAAGCACAAGTTAGCTACTTCTTGTTCCTCTTCATCGGAACTTTCTTCATCGCTCCATGTAGCCACATGAGTCTTGTGCTTATTCTTTGATTGACCATTTTTCTTCAATTGTGGGAATCATATTTGACATGCCCTTGCTTTTTGCATTTGTAGCAAATGATTGGGTCCTTCTCTTTCGGTTCATTTTTGAGGCCTTCATTTCGTTTGAATTTTCTTCCTCGATAAGGTCTCATCATTTTTCTGAATCGTTTGACAAACAATGCCATTTTCTCGTCATCGTCATCGTTATTCGAATAACTCTCATCTTTTGTGGATTTGAGAGCAACTCCAATGTTTTTCTTCTTCTCCTTCTCCTTTGGTGTTTCGTCAATCTTGTCGAGTTCCACCTCATCTTTGAGCATCATTTAATGAGTGAGGAGTGACCCAATCAACTCTTCAAGAGTTAAGGACGTTAAGTCCTTAGACTCGATGATTGCCGTCTTCTTTGATTGCTACGATTTTGGGAGGGAGTAGACTAACTTCCTCACAAGCTTTTCATTTGAAATAATCTCTCCATATGATTTGAGACCATTGACAATCGTTGAAAATCTATCCGTCATAGGTTTGATATCTTCATTTGGTTTCATTCTGAAATTTTCATAGTTATGCGTTAGAATACTAATTTTAGATTTCTTTACCTCATCGGTACCTTCATGAGTGACTTGAAGTTTGTCCCATATTTCTTTGGGGGTTGTACACGATGAAACTCTTACGTATTCATCTGGTCCAAGAGCACAAAAAATGATATGGATGGCTTTGGAGTTGAGCTGGAACATTCTTGTCTCTCCTTCACTCCACAACCTTAGATGAGTGAGAGGTTTGATGTATCCTTCTTCTACAGCATTCCATTCTCCCATGTCACTTGCTTGAATGAAGTACATCATTCTATTTTTCCAATAGGCATAGTTAGCTCCATTGAAGAAAGGAGGCTTGTTAACGGGCATCGAGTCGAGACCGGAGTCGATGTTTGAAGGGGAGGCCATTGATGACTTTGATTATCGATATAACTCTTCCCGAATTGACTCAAGAGGCGATTAAACCTTCAAATGAGTTAGGCTATGATGCCAATTGTTGAGTTAATCGATTGACGGAATTGGCCAAGAGGGGGTGAATTGACAATTAAAAATTTGGTGGAAGCTTTTGCAGAAAATTGAAAGTAATTGCACATCGATTTAGAGTGGTTCGACTTTCTCAATCAAAGTCTACGTGTACTACCTTAGCTATCCACACTAATGATTTTCCAACAAATTCACTAATTTGTTCTTTCTTTTGAGGCCAAAGAGATAACCTTACAACACCCTCAAGAATACCCCAATTCTTGAGACACTCTTTCCCAAAGAGAAGATTACAAATTTGCAAACTTAGGAAAACCTCACAAGGTAAGATGTTTGCACAATTAGAACAGAAAAGAACACTCAAGATAATTACAAATGAGCACAAATGGTGTTCTTGAAAGCAAAATGAATATTGAAAGAAAAATTGACTTGATTTGCACAAACTTGGTGTTTGATGCTTTCTCTCTTGTTTCTCTATAATTTCTTATTGATCAAGGGCTTCAGAACTTGTTTAAATACACATTGAATCACTTCTGAACGTTGAGGATGATTAGTGAAGATCATATAGCCGTTTTAGTATGAAAACAATTAATAAAACAGTTTGTAGCGTGGGGGAATCGGTACCCCCTATGGAGAATCGGTTCCCTAAGTGTAAAATTCAAATATTTCGAACGTTATACAAGGGGGGAATCGGTACCCCCTGGGAGGGAATCGGTTCCCTCCGAGCATACTGGAATTCTCGGAGCCAAACCATTCAGGGGGAATCGGTACCCCCTATGGGGGGAATCGGTTCCCTCTGAGCAATCTGAAATTTTTAACTTTGAAATATTTCGAAATACTTTGTAAATTTATTTTGAAATTGTTTTAAGATTAAAATTTAATTTTACACTTTGAGTAAGGATTAAAAATGATCTTTGAAAGATTTAGAGTAATGTTCTGATATTCGAATAATTCTATCGAATATACTTAGAAAATCATTTGGAAAATCTTAAAATTCATTTAACTTAATTTGTTATATCGAAATATCAAAATGTTTTTAACAATTCTCATGAGGATGATGCTGACACTACACTCAAAGAAGTGAGTGATGATGAAGAGACTAAATCAAAGGAAGAAGAAGAATCCAAGAAGTCAAGTGATAAAAGTACTTCGAAAAAGAGTGCTACAGATCGTTTGGATTCAAAACTCAAGAAGACATCGGCATCTGAAAAGAAGGCTACCCCTGCAAAATCTAGCAGAAAATCTTCCGGATCAACTTCAAAACAAGGCACTAGTGGTGATGATAGGACTCCGGGCTCTAAATTAAAGGGTTCTGCATCAAAAAAACAGGAGGTTGAAAAGGAAAGCTCTAACGATGATGGTTTTCCACGAAAAACAAGGTTACCAGGAAGAAGCAAACTACCAAATCACCACAAAGGTTTCCACCAAGGCTCAAGGTGATTTCTTTAGCTATACTGTTTGAAACATATGCGTGTTTACGAGGCTTTGCATTCACAAGGGTTTTACTAAATTTGGATGAGTTTCTGTGTGCTGTCGGTATTATAAAAAGAAAATCTTCTAGGCCAGGGATATTTGAAGTGTTTTTTTGCATTATTGATTTTTTTTGGAAGGAATGCTTTATTAATTTGATTGTCATCGAGTTTATGGCACTACAGGTAAAGGCAAAAGCAACAGAAGCTAAAGTAGAGCCTAGCAGGGAAGAGATTCATGATGTAGTGGTAGATATTCTAAAAAAAAGTGGACTTTGACACCGTAAGTAGTATACACATCTGTGTTTCGAGATGAAACGACAATCAATATCTATGCTCAACTTTTCTGCCATTTTTTATGCAGGCAACGTTATCGGATATTCTTCGACAACTGGGTATATTTCCCTGTAGTTATTAAAGCATTTAAGTTACAGTTTCAACTTTTACACTTTCACTAATAGAAGATTTGACCATGTCAGCTACGCACTTTGATCTGGATTTGATGCATAGAAAGGCTGAGGTGAAGGATATTATCACCGAAGCAATAAATAACATGTTTGACGACGATGATGAAGAAGGGGAGGAAAGTAAAGAGAATGCTGATACAGGCAGCGATGCTGATAAAGACGGGAATGGGGACAATGATGCTTAGTTCCCTCGGGGATTTATATACCACCATGTCGAACGTGTAAGATATCTGCGGTCATGGTAATTTGTAACCTTGAGGATTTCTCTTCCAATCGTACAGTTATAAAATCGTAGTTTTAGGTGACTGATAGGTGGGCGTGCAGCGTAGGAGTTATCAACTCTTTGGTACTAACTTATTGCTGATCTGGCATCAACTTACATATTTTGTAGGTTTTTTGTTGTTGTGTATCTTCTTCGTTGAAAATTGAAAATGTTGAAGTTGTGTATTTGATTTGTGTAGTCGTACTTTGAGTAGTGAATGGTTTAGTAAATATGTGAAGATGGGATTGCAGTTTTGCTATCTTGCGTTGTTCTGGTGTCATCCTCTGCATCTCAAGTTAGTCTAAACGATTATGTTAGTAGAACAATTTCAATGCATCTTTGTTATATTAGTTTCTTTGACTTCATTGATGAGTTTTCCTTTATTCTAGTTATAATGTTCTGATTTTTCTTTTTTAGTACACATGCTTAATATTCACTTTTAAATTATGAAAATAACAATGCACCATCTTTCAATTACATTTATTATGTATTTGCACCATCTTCCTATAATATCCAATCCTAGCTTGGTTAAATGAAATATCGACCATTGTAAGCATTCAAGATGGAGTACGAAGTTCATCCGATCTATAGCCTTCATTGATGGTCGAGCATCGAGAAGCGCTGCAAGAGAAGCTGCAAAGGGGAGTTATTTTTGGGATCATGGCCATTGTTCATCTCCTCTAAAACTTGGTGGAACGAATCGGCGTTGCAGGGAAGGAGTGGTTGGCGAATATGCCTTTGGGGTCCAAGTAGACGAAGAAATAGCTTTCTAGTGTTACCTTAAATGCACGGCGATTCGGAGATGTCGATGATCCTCTTGATGCTTTGCAACATATTTCCCAGACGTTCACGGCAGTGTTTTTCTTCCATTTCTTCTTTACAACATCCATTGCACTCTATTAATTCAAAATCAATGGAAATACTCTAATATTTTAAATTATATTATATTTTAAGATAACTCATTAATAATATTTTTATATAAACGAAATATTTTATTAAGAAAAAATATATTATCAATACTTTATAACAACAACAACAACAACAACAAAACCCAATTCCCATATGCAATGGGGTAAGGGGGAGGTAGGGTAGTAGGTTGCCCCCAACGTCAGGTTGAGAGTAGCTTCCGTGGAAGACCTCCGGCAGTCAGAAAATTAAAAATATAGATAAAATGCAATGCATGTATAAATAAATACATAAATACATAGTTGTACAGTATTCATATGCAATCATTAATATCATTAATATCATATGCGCGTCTGTAATGGGCAGTAATCTTTGTATATAGACAGAAACATAAGAACCTAAATTTAAAAGTGGAGAGAAAGATACACAGAAGTCAAACGATAGCAAGGCCAGTTCTAAGCCTTCATAAATACCAATAACAGAACGGATAAAAGTAGAAGTTATGTAAATTACTACAAAGGCATTAAAAGAAGACAGAGATGATGCACCCTAGAGATTTGACCCACACTACTCGACTATCCTAGTCTTAAGTCTCCATACTTTCCTATCAGAGGTCATGTCCTCGGTAAGGGCTAAATCCATCATATCAGATCTCAAGCAGTCTTCCCACTTCCGCCTTGGTCGTCATCTCCTTCTGGCACCGTCGACTGTAATCGACTCTACCCTCCTGACCACATCAGATAGTAGTCGCCTAAGGACATGCCCAAACCACCGTAGTCTTCCTTCCCTCAATTTCTTGGAAACAGGCACCACCCCCAAGGACATCCTAATAGCAGAGTTTGTTGTCATATCCCACAGAGCCCTACCGCATGTCCACCGAAGCATTCTCATTTCTGAGGCCTCTATCCTCCTTACATGATCCTTCTTGGTTGCCCAACATTCAGATCCATACAATAGTGCTGGTCTTATTGCCATTCTATAAAATTTTCCCTTAAGTTTTAGAGGTACCTTCTTGTCACACAAAACTCCAGTAGCGACCCTCCACTTTAGTTTGAGGGGAGAACGTGTCCTTCTATGCATACTTCTACATCGTCTTCGTTTTGGTCCCTACTGAAGTTTGAACATAAATACTCTGTCTTATCAATATTGATCCTTAGACCTTTTTCTTCTAAAGCAGTCTTCCAGTTAGCCAGTCTACTATTCAACTCAGATTTTGTTTCAGCCACTAGGACAATGTCGTCAGCGAAAAGCATACACCATGGTACACCGTCTGGTGTCGCACAAAAGATGTCGTCCATAATCAAGGCGAAGATGTAAGGGCTAAGAGCCGACCCCTGGTGGAGTCCGATTTCCACCGGGAATGCCTCGGTGTCGCCAACTGTAGTCCTGACGTATGTAGTAGATCTACAATACATATCACGAATCGTCCGGATATAAATAGTTGGATCCGTCTCGTTCCAAAGTCTTCCAGATCGTATCGCGGGGAACGCTATCATAAGCCTTCTCAAGGTCAATGAACGCCATGTGAAGATCTCTAGACTTTTCCCTATATTTCTCCATAAGTCGTCGAAGTAGATGAATCGCCTCCGTGGTAGACCTGCCTGGCATAAAGCCAAATTGGTTTTCCGAAACCCTAGTAACTTGTCTCAACCTAGCCTCTATCACCCTTTCCCATAGCTTCATGGTATGGCTGAGTAGTTTAATACCTCTGTAGTTACCACAACGTTGGGGATCTCCTTTATTCTTATAGATTGGTATCACCGTGGACTCTCTCCACTCCTCTGGCATCTTGGCAGTCTCTAAATAATATTAAAGATATTGGTCAACCACTTAACTCCCTCTTCTCCTAGGGCCAACCACACAGTGATAGATTTGATCAGGACCGACAGCTTTGTCCCTTCCCATCTTTCTAAGAGCCATTTTGACTTCCTCAACCCAATCCTACTTGTAGGGCAGTCATTGCCGATGTATGATGGTCGGATGACCCATCAACGGTACTTTCTCTACAGGGAGAGGCACCTTCATTAAATAAATCAAAGAAGTAATTACCCCAAACCCTCTTAATATCATGATCTTTCGCTATAAGAACACCATTGTTGTCCTTAATAAATCTAATGCTACCTAGATCCTTTTTCCTATTCTCCCTAGATTTTGCAAGCCTGAAGATGCCGTTTTGTCCTTCCTTGGTGTCTAATCTCTTGTACATTTCCTCGTATGCCTTATCCTTTGCTTTAGCCACCGTTTTCTTGGCTTCCCGCTTTGCCTCCTTGTATCTTTGTTTAGCTCTCGACCTTTCTTCGTCGTCATTGCATTGTAGAAACTCCTTGAAGCAAGTTTGCTTTGTCTTCACCTTAGTTTGGACTTCGTCGTTCCACCACCACGATTCTTTATGTTCCTTTGGAGAACTGAAAAATAAATCAAGATAAAGAGGAAGGAAATCAATACTTTATAACATGTGGATATAAAATTATTATGAAATAATAATTTAAATACTTATTTTGACAAAAAAGAATATTATAAAAAAATACATTAATGCTTGTAAATTAAAGTGAATTTATTAACTACAATCTATGATATTTCTCATTAATTTCATTTCATAACGAGATAAAATGTTTAATTATTCCAATTCAACCACAATCACTCATTTAAAATAACATAATTTAAATAATATATTTATCCTTTTAACCATTCAAAAATAAAAAATACTAAATAAATTTTAAAAAAATATCATTATATATGAAATATATCAATTTAAATATAATAAAAATATAAAAGAAATATAATAAAAATATAATTACAATAAATATATATTTTATAATAACTCACTATTAATTTTTAAAGTGAAAATTGCCTAAAATAAAATACATACATTACATATTTAAGACATGTTAACACAAATTAAGTTGGACGATAAAAGCGGCGTTCGTGTGAGCTTCGCTTTAATTATTCGATTATAGTAAATCTATATATATATATATATATATATATATATATATATATATATATATATATATATATATATATATATATATATATATATATATATATATATATATATATATATATATATATAACTTCTTTAGATTATCAACCTTTCTCCACTATGATAAAGAAGTAAACTTTCATCATTATTAGTAAGGAACCCAAGCTTCAAAGAAGCAGATAAATAATGATCAAGAAATGGAAGTCTATTTAAATATATAAGATTAGAATTGTATAACATATAAAATTTATGATGAATTTGATAATGTCACATTCAGATAATCGAAACGATCCGTAACATTTTTTTCAAAATTGTTTTTAAAAATCAAACAATTTAATATAATTGATTAACTTCTAAGGTACAAAATTGAAAAAAAAAGATAATATAATGTCCAAACTTTACCTAAAATATACGATGAATTAGATAGTGTCACATCTAGATCATCGAAACGGTCCACAATTTTTTTATAAATATTTTAAAAATCAAACAATTTTATATAATTGAAAGCTAGTTTAATAATAAGACATGTGATCCTACAAACCAGTTTACCCACTAAATAAATTAAATGAGTTTACACACTTAAAACATTAAATAAGATCCTACAAATGATAATAACCAATAATAATACCTATCGCTCAATAGATACAACATAAAATGACCAGATTTGGGAGGTCATTTTAGAGATCTTTATACATATAACAGTCCATACAAGGCCATGTGTTCTTTCAAATAATGCCATATGATCCAACTATTTAGTACCAGGGGGTTTTGATCATTTCTCAACTTGTAGAGTTTTGAGACCTACTAAAGTTAACCTAGGAGTATCATATTTATTTTGGAACTTATAACTTTAAACTAAGTTTAATAGATCGTTTTAGGAGAGTTTGGTAACCTGTTTTTAGATCAAATAGGCTATTTGGGTTATATAAGCCCAAATTTACTCGAAAACTAATGTTTGAAACCTCAATAGTTGAACATAGATTTTCTCTTAAGGCAGTTTTAGCAGCATGACTAAGCATTGTGACTTCATATTAGTTTTAAAACAAATTTACACCTATAGCCATCAACAAGCATGACAAAGCATGCTAAGATACCAAGATTAAGTAGGGAACATATTTAAACTACCACAAACACATGTTTATGATATAGAGTTGAAGTTGGGAGAGTATTTCTTTTATGATTCACATTAATGTTGGTAAGAATTATATTCATTTCGTATATTATTTTATATTAATGATACGTAAAAGAATGATTTCCTACCAATTAGTGTTGTGATCATAAATTAAAGAAAAAGTTGTGACCATAAATCAAAGTTAGGAACAAATTTTCTTTGGTTTTATGATTCACAT